TTTTTAAATGATACATCCTAACTTTCATAACTCTCCAGTAACTGACTCCAAAGACATCAAAGGAAATGAAGTATAGAGCAAAGAATTCAAATATTGCTTTTAAAAGGGCTCAGTGCATTAAAAGGAGGATATAAAGAAACCTTTTAATAAGGAAAGCACTGCAATTTCTCAATGAGCTACTTGGCTGAATACGTACTAAAAAGAGCAATTGTGAAAGAGAACCACAAACCTCAGAAATTAGAAGCTGAAAATCCATATTAAAAAATCAGTTATAGCCAGGCATGGTGGCACATGTCTTTAGTTCCAGCACTTAGGAGGCAGAGGCAGGTTGTTCTCTGTGAGATCGAGGCCAGTCTGGTCTACATAGTGAGTTTCAGGTCAGCTGTGGCTACAAGGAGACCCTGTCTCAAAAACAAACAAACAAAAAAGTTACGGCTGGGCATGATGGTGCATGCCTTTAATCCCAGCACTTGGGAGGCAGAAGCAGGTGGATCTCTGTAAGATCAAGGCCAGTCTGATCTACATATCGAGTTTGAGGCTACCCAGGGCTACAAACTGAGACCCTTTCTCGGAAAAAAAAAGAAAAGAAAAAAGACTGAAGCACAAGTGACCTACTTCTGTGAGCCATTTGGGTGTCTTCATTTTGTCTTCCAACTAATTATAGACCATTAAGCTAGAGATTGTACTGTCTCAGAGATATCAACCATTGCCATCAACATAGGTGCCTTTCTCCTACCACTAAGGACCTATCAACCTCCAAGCGATGTCACAGTCTAGCTGTCAACCTCTTACAATAACCACTCCCTCTCTTCTTCCAAAATGCACTCAGATCTTTCAGACCTTATAGTTGTAAAACCTATGACAGGTAGGCAACACTAATGTTCCTGTGAAGTGGCTCCAGAAAGGAAAAGACCTTTGTCCTTTGTCAATGATTTGACCCTGCTGGTCTGTCAGTAGGGAAATGTAGAGACAAAAAGGTCAAAAATAAAAGCAGAAAGCCCCACACATTAATAGCCAAACTGTGACTACTTGGAGCCTGACCTCAATACCCCAAATGGCCAATCTCAAAAAAGACAACAGGTGCTATTGTGGTAGTGTGATGCCACATTATGGTGATGGCTGAACAAAGACAGCCAGACTCTGAGCATCCATTTAAACCAAGAATGGGACCTGATCTGTTCTGAGAATTTGTTTCTTCATATTTTTCCTGGAGCTGTGCCCCCAAAGAAAGGCTTTGCTCTGCATTTATTGAGACAGTATATCCAGCATGAAATGGGGAAGGAAAAGCAAGATTTTCCCTTTCTGATCCCTACTGACCTAGAACAGCACACACAATAAATAGATACTATCATCTACAACACAAATAGGATAAGCCATTGGTTTCAATGAATATTCACTGCTTACAACACACACACACACACACACACACACACACACACACACACACATAGTATTCTCAGTAAAGTGCAAGGAAGGGAAATGAGGGATTAAGGCTTTATGTTTGTATTACAGGAGGAGCCTAAGGCCTAGTAAGTTTGTTTACCATATAAACAAGCTGAGATAGTGTTAAATTATCTCAAAACATAGGATTAACTTTGCTTACAAGGTTAGGTAAGATTCCATTTGTCCAAAAAAGTCATTTCCACTGCTATAAAATTGCTTACGAAGACGTGAGATGCTCACTCATCTATACAGATATGGACCCTACACAAATGGCACACAAAGTAAGACCAAGTAAATTTCCTTTAATGTTATAAAAGAATTTCCATTCCCTATCAGGTAGCAATTATCTCTGAGAGTTCACTCACTCTTTTTTTTCTTTTGGTCTTTTTGAGACAAGGACTCCCTGTAGCCCCAGCTGTCCTGGAACTCACTATGTAGACCAGGCTGGCCTCCAACTCACAGAAATCTGCCTGCCTCTGCCTCCCAAGTGCTGGGATTTAAGGCGTGTGACACCACACCTGGGCCTGAGTCTTTCTTTAATAAACCTCTGTGTCTATTCTGGACTGGTAAATGCTTTTACCATCTTTGACTTATCACTGTTGTGCCTGGTGTAGTAGTAGCACCCACCTGGAATTTGAAGTTTTAAAATGTACTGAAGGAGATATTGACTACTGCTTCTTTCTTAGATAAGAAACATTTGGGTGCCTCAAGTCTCAAAATAGATTTACAAAAACTAACCTAAAATCAGATAGGCATGGTGGTGCACACCTTTAATCCCAGCACTCAGGAGGCAGAGGCAGGTGGATTGCTAGAATAAATTTTTAAAATTGAATTTTTGTATATTTATACCGCCTTCCCCTTTGGCACCCTTCTATTGCCCCCCACCCCCAACTGTAGTTCATATCTTCTGTCATTGGTGGTAAGACCTATCATGTAAAGTTAGTGTCCCCAGATGTCCCTCAGTGCACGTTCATTCACTGGGATCTAATCTATCTAGAGTCCCCCCTTTTAGAAGATAAGATCCCAGTGTACTTTTGATCCTAACAGAATGCCTGTCAAGTCAAATGCTGAATTCTTTTTTTTTTTTTTTTTTTTTTTTTTTTTTTTTTTTTTAAAAAAAAAAAAAAAAGAGGACGATAAATCTTTCACTGTGATATATCAAAATAAAACTCACAGAGATTCACCTGCTTCTGCCTCCAGAATGCTGGTACTAAAGGCATGCCCAGTGAAATGCTGAATTTTAAATGTGAGACACACCCCTATCCCCAACTCCCTTTCAACAACTACGACTGCCTTCCTGAGATGATTGTTGATTGCATGCTTTGGACTTGGGGTAGAGACGAAGTTAGACGGTTTCCAATTCCTCAACTTTTCTATTTGTCTTATTTGTAAATCTTTCAGGGACTGGATAGGTCTTTTGTGCGGAGACATCATTTCCTTACAGTTAGAACCACCTGACCTGGGGAGGCAAGTATGGCATGCCCCCATTTCTTGGTCCAGTACTAGTGTGGAGCCTGCCTGACCCACTTGTTTTTGGAAGACAAAGACTGCCCACTCCACTTAGTATTTATTGAAGTGACTTATTTGTTCCAGCGTCACGTGTGTGTATGTGTGTGTACAGACCTCTATGAGGCAAGAAGGGGATGGGACCACAAGCACTTGGCAGTCCTTTGTGGCTGTCCTCGTGGGCTGCCATTTCAAGGTGTATGTACTCTGCCATCCCAGTCTTCATTCTTTCCCCCTCCCGCTCCTCCCCTCTTCCCTCCTTCTCTCCTTGACCCATGTAATCCTCCTGTCCATCAGCCTCCAAGCGCTGGAATAACAGGCACAGAGGATGTGCTCCTATGGATGACTTTTCCTCTTGGAGTTGAAGAATTCACCTTCAAAATTGTAGCTCTCCCAACCTGCAAGGGCAGGCCTGCTTACATGGTGGCGCCTCTTCCAGGCGTAGAACTACAACTCCCAGAATGCTCTGAGAGCCTCCGGATCAAGTCTCGCGCGATGTGCCGGGGTCTGAGGCTGCTTTGTGGTCCAGGCGGCCGGCTGTGCTCCAGGAGGTCCCCAGCCGCAGGGGTCGCGATCTCATGATGGCTCTGCTCTGGAGCGCTCCACGGCCTCTCCGGAAATCTGGAGGAACCTCTGAACCTCTTTAGTGCCGGAGTTCTGGCCGCAGGCAGCAGTGGGCAGGCAGGTGACCGGCCTGGCGCTCCTGTCAGGCGCCTGTGCTGGTACGGGGGTGCGCCGGCCGGAGGCCGGGTCGGGAGAGCGCAGCCGGCGGTGGGGGTCCGGGGTCGGCTGGGGATCGCGGGGACGGGTAGGGATTGCGGGGCTGGGGGTGGGAGGCCGGGGGCCGGAGGGGGCCCGCGCTGCTCCTCTTTCTGGCGGGGCTCAGCTCCGGGCCTCCGCGTCTCTGCAGGTCCCCAATGCGGCTTCCCCCGTGAGGCCTCTGCGCGCGACCCGCAGCACCTTTGACCCATAGTCCCAGCTCCAGCCTAGACCAGCTGTGTTCTCGGGGAGCCAGAGGCTCAGCCTCGAGTGTTGGTTGAGACCGGCGTTTGGGTCTGACCAGACTTTTTAAATCCTAGCGGTTTTGTCTTGTACCCCCTGAAGAAGAGCGGTGTGGCCGAGATGGGGGCCTTGAAGGAAAGGGGAAGGAAATGTGTCCGGGTTGGGGATGCCTTCTGGACCATGATGAGTGGCCCCTGGGAACTTGTACAAAATTTCCTGAAAAATAATGCCTGCTTTGCAGTGTGGCTCCAAGTTTTGTCGGCGTGGTGGCCGTACACCTTTAATCCCAGCACTTTGGAGGTAGAGGCAGGTGAATTTCTGGAGTTTGAAGCCCACCTGGTCTACATGGAGAATTCCAGGCAAGCCAGGGCTGCATAGCGAGACCCTTTCTCAAAACAAAAACCAATGAAGACAAGTTTTGTGCAAGGTGCTATTAGTATCGGCGTAGTAATAGTGAATTTGGCCTCTGTTGGATCGCCTGTTGCTGTCAAGGTGAAATGAATAGCTCTTGTGAGCCTGTTAATGGGGAATAAATGAATGTACAGAGCAATATCTGGTGGACTTCGAAGCGCACTGTACCAACACTGGTTGTTTGTTGTTATTAGAACCCCTGGATGGACTCTTCCTGGGAAGCTTTGCTAATTTGCAGCACCTGGACAATGTTCCTCATTAACATCTGTCTGTCAGCATAGCCCAACATCATTTCACTGTGGTAAGGTGACTTCACCTGGTGTCTTGTCCTCTCACATTTGTTAAGATCACCCAGAAGATACGGTGAACTCTTGGACTTTATCCTTTTTTGGGTGTGTCTGTCACTCATTTGTTCTTGTGTGTGTTTCAATCTTGTTAACAAGCCATAATCTCTGTGTCTGTACAGAGAACAGTACTGGGGTGATCCTCTGCTGTTCCCCGTAAGAAAATGCTGTTTGTTATTTTTGTTAGGTGTCAGGGACTCTGCTCTCCTCTGCTCCAAATTCTATATAGAAAAACACCTGGATCCCAGTCTTTCAATGGCTTCAAGACAACCAGAAGTGCCTGGTAAACTTAATTCTTTTTGATTAAGTCCTGTGTTGCCCTTGTTATTCTAAGGTATAGAATCTCTGAACGATGTTATTAATTGTTCCTTTCTGCCACTAGGCACGTATTTAGACTTAATAGATTGTCATCATTTTAATATTATCTCATTATACCCCTCTCTCCCCAAGGTGTGGTATAAACCCAAATCCTAACTCAGAAGAGCCATTTCACATAAGGGTATGACAGATACTACTTTGTATAAGAGGAGAATAATTAACAGTGAGTCCTGTAGTTCTTAAGAAGTGCCAGAGTGACTGAACTTCACCTCTTTTGGGGGTGGTTAGGAACAGAATGAAGTGGACAAAAGGTATTAGCCTAGTTCACTGTTATATTGAACTTAGTGGTGAAAGTGTTTGTAGCAACATGTAATGGTTTGTTATTGCACAGTAGTGTCTGGGTTACTGAGGTTATTGATTCCTCCTTGGATTGTCACCAAGAGGGAAGAGTATTTTTAAGTTAGTCTGAATCACCGAGTTAATTCTCAGTGAAGTGTAGATGGCAATTCCTGTCTGAGAGCTATTGTGAAGATTAAGCAAATTTTGAAAATGAAATTAAAAATTGGTGTGAAATCTGCAGTTATTGCTCAAGGTTTTTGATCCCTTTGTAGGAACATTTTCTACTAAGTATTAGCCGATTTTATTGCTGTCTTTAGGAAGGCCATTTGGAATGTCTTGGGAGAGGTCTTAAACATGGTTTTGAAATTGCTCCCCAGTTAGGTAGATTAATAGCTTTCCCCATGTTCCCTAATACAGATTTATCACTTGTCTCTAACATCATGAGTGTGTGTGTCTGTCTTTCATTATTACTTGTTTGCCATAAACTCCCTGTAACCATCCAAGAGCCAGCTGTGTTAACATTCATAAGATTACTGCTTGGTGGTGCAGGAAGCACGGACTGGTGGCTGCAAGGTGTAAACCCTGGCTGGCGTCTGCCTCATGTGTGCTCGCTGGGTGATATGGACACGTTGCTTATATTCTGTACCACAGTTTTATGAGCTGGAAAGTGGGAAGAAAATTAGATGCAATGAAAGATGTAAATGTCTGGTAATTTTTCTTTGCTTATGTTTTAATTGAAATATGATGCACATAATACAAGTTCATCCATTTTAAAATGAGTTATTTAATGGTTAGTATATTTACAAGGTTGTACCCATTACAGTCAACACCTCATTGCCCCCTCTATCTAGTCCCTGGCAACCAATAATCCTCTGGGGTTTGTTAATAGTTATTAATATTGGGAGTAGTGACATGGTAGCTCTTGATCCCTTGGCATTTAGACGAAGCCTTTGTTGGTTTTGGACTAGCTGCCAGGCAGACTGATATCTTGAAGGGTGTGGTTATGTAATTTTAACAACAGGAAATGTCACCTTGAAGGCAGGTTCTGGATTAGTAAGCCAAACAAAATGACCCTTGCTACCAGGTCTGGCTCAGCTGAGAGTGACCTTGGAGTGTCACAGCAGAACATTCCAGCTGTCAGTTCCTGGGACTGAATGGCAGGATTAGCTGGCAGTGTTGGTCAGAGTGGCTGTCAGTTATTTCTGTGATGGAAATGTTTAAATCTCTAGAACACTTCCAGCTAGAAGTGGTGCCACACCATATTCTTTTTTTTTTGGTCTTTTTGAGACAGGGTCTCCCTGTAGCCCCAGCTGTCCTGGAATTCACTGTGTAGACCAGGTTGGCCTTGAACTCATAGAGATCTGCCTGCCTCTGCCTTCCAAGTGCTGGGATTAAAAGGCGTGTTCCACCATGCCGGGCCCACACCATATTCTCTTAAAGATACTTCTTTTGCTGTTTTCTTGGGGAAGACATGGAAGGTTCAGGGTTTGTCATCAGCTTGGTCAAGCCTCAGCTAGTTATTTTCTTTATGAACTGGGGCAAATCAGTTCACCATGAGGGTTTGGTTTCTTCGTCAGATGAGACGATGGGTGTAGTGGCATGACTGTCATCCCAGCATGTGGGAGCTGAGACAGGAGCATCTTTTGAGTTTGGGCTACAGAGTGAGACTCTGTTTCCCAGAGAAGGGAAAAGGAGAGAACAAGAAGATGTCTTGCTCAGTCTTGTGTGAATTGAGAGTCTTGGCATATAAATTTTGAAATGAGATAGGTTTGAGTTTTGATTCAAAATTGTGCTTTGAAGTTATGAGACTTTGCTTAGCTAAATTTGCATAATTGAACATAAGGTTTCTTAATCTCTAGAAATGGATTAGGGCCTGGTATGGTAAGGTAGTGCATGCCTATAGTTCAAGCATTGGGAAGGGCTGAAGCAGGAGGACTGCTAGAGTTTGGGGCTAGCCTGTGCTAGTTACATTGTAGTTGCCCCCCCCCAAAAAAAGCAAAAAAAAGATTAGCGTTTCTAAGTGGGATTAGTTGTTTCAGACAAACTGTTCTTGTTCTATCCCAAAGTAGGCTTCAGAGCTTTCTTGTCTACAGATTGACTTAAAGCTGCTAGTATGTTCAGTTGATGACCTATATTGACAGGTGTCTCTGTTCTTAGCACTTGAGCCCAGTGGGCCTCTAGGCAAGATGTCCCTGCCTATCGGGATGTGCCGCCGGGCATTCAGCTATGATGATGCCCTTGAGGACCCTGCACCCATGACTCCTCCTCCATCAGACATGGGCAGCATCCCTTGGAAGCCAGTGATTCCAGAGCGCAAGTATCAGCATCTCGCCAAGGTATCTGATCCTGCTCACTGCTGCTGGCATCTTGACCCCTTTGTTCTCCTCCCTCTGCTCCAGAAGCCTTTAGTGGTTCTCAGTGCCCACAAAATTGACAGCAGTCATTCCCTTTGTCTATTTTCTGTGCCTTTTAAAAATAAAAACTGGAGCTGGGCTTGGTGGTCCATGCTTTTAATCCTAGCACTTGGAAGGCAGAGGCAGGCAGATCTCTATGAGTTCTAGGCCAGCCTGGTTTACATAGTTTGAGTTCCAGGCTAGCTGTCTCAAAAAACAAAAATGCAAGAAAACTGAACAGTAGTATCATCTCATGAGACTTTTGCATAGCACTTCCCCAAGCTCTAGAACCTCATAGTTCTGATAAGGTTCTGGCTGCCTCAGGCTATTGTGTTTCTGACTCACCTGTGACTTAACTACCAGAAATATAAGAAAGCTTATCCTATTCCTGAATGAACTTGGCTTTCCAGATGCTCAGGTAAAGCCATTGAACCTGCAGTTACAGTTTCACCCAACTTTGAACTGCCTGACAGCTGGGGGCCTGACAGGAAGTATGTAGTGAGGGTCTGCTTAAACATACCTGGTATGGATCCCAGGTAGTTTGTGCACTGGTTTTGAGACTTAGGCATACAGTTTTACCTCTGAGCACAGTGTCTCCATCTGAGAGCGAGGAATACTTTGTCTTAGAAATGTTGGGGGAGAGTCTGGAGAGATGGCTCAGGAGTTAAGAACACTGTTCTTGCAGAAGACCAGGGTTTGAATCCCAGCACCCACATGGTGGCTAACAACCATCGGTGACTCCAGTTCTGGGGGATCTGGCCTCCATGGGCACAGTACCACATGGGTGCACTTAACACACATGCAGCCATAACACTCACATACATAAAATAAAAATAAATAAATCACACAAAAAAATGTTGGGAGTAAATGAGAGAGTTAAAGGTTTAAATGCTTGGCACCTGTTAGATGTGTAGCCTAACTCACCAAGTGGAGACCTATTTGCTCTTTTCCATTCTTTCTTCCCTCTCTTCATTTTGATTTTTAATTATGTGTGTCTGTGGGTATATGCATGTGAGTGCGGTGTCTGTGGAGGCCAGAAGCAGCAGATGCCCTTGGAGCTGGAGTTACGGGCAGTTGTGAGCTGTTGGATATCGGTGCTGGGTCCCCTGGAAGAGCAGGAAATACCCTTAACCACTGAGCCATCTGTCTAGCTTCTGCCCTGTTCTTTCTGATGGGCTGTTTCTGCTTTCCTTGTGCTCTCAAGAACAGGGACTTCCTGTCTAAGAAAGTTACCCCTATTGCTCTGGGGAAAACTCCTTATTTTAATATCCACTGTAATCTGACCCAATCAGCTGTTGAAGAGAAAGTATTGTGTTTTAAACAGCGGAAAGGCTAGAAGAAAAAGAAAACTGTGGCAGTCTACATGTAGAAGCATCTTGAATTTGAGGCTACCCCGCGCTCCATTGAAAGTTCCCTCTCAGAAACAAACATAAACAAAAACCCACACAAAAATAAAAACTCAGGTACTTGGGAAGGATTGCAAGTTTGAGGCCTGTTCAGCTACAGAGTGGATTCAAGACAAGTCGAGGCAACTTATTGAGTCCTTGTCTCAAAATAGAAAGTGAAAAAGAGAGCTGGAGATATAAGTGGTCAAGTGCTTCCTTTACATGTGCAAGGCCCTGGGTTTAGTCCTCAGTACCAGTGGGGAAAATGGCCATTACGTGAACCTTTAGTGTAGTGGTCTAGAAGATCACCTGGTATCTTAGTTTCTTCCTGTTGTTGTGATAAAATACTCTGATGTAGGCAATTTAAGGGATAAATGGTTTCTTTTAACTTCAAGGTGCAGTCCATTGTGTGGGATGTCAGGGAGGCAGGAGCTTGAAGCAGCTGGTCCCATCATATCTACAACCAGGAAACAGCTTGATGAATGCCTACCGGTGCTCAGCTCCATTTCTCCATTTATATAGTCCAGGATCCCCTGCCAGGGAATGGCTCCTCCCACAATTCAGATGGGTCTTTGCACATTAGTTAACATAGTTTTTGATAAGCAACCATAGACACTGGCAGAGGCTAGCCTCAATTTAGATAACCCTTCACAGTTGTGCCAAACACCTGTTTCTTAGGTTATTCTAGAGTCTGTCAAGTTGACAGTTAACATCATACCTGGGAATCTGGAGTTTGTTAGAAACAATTTTTATTCAAAACAACTTTTTTTTTTGAGACAGGGTCTCACTATGTAGCTTAGGCTGCTCTGGAACTCACTAGCCCAGGCTGGCCTTGAACTCATAGCAATCCTTAGCCTCCAGAGTGCTGGGATTACAGATGTGTACTGCCATGCCCTGTTTATATGGTCCTGGGAATTGAGCCCAGAGCTTCATGCATACTAGACAAGCATCCCCAGCCCAGAAACAAATTCTTGAGTCTCAACTGGACAGCTCAGACCTACTGTCAGCTCTCCAGGTGATTGTGACACTCAGCCAAGCTTGAAGGAATGTTCTGCTCGGGCCCAATCAGGCTTAGTGCCTGGCACATGGTCAGTGCTTTCTGACAGGTGTTTCTTGTTTCCTTTCTTTCAGTCCTTCTTCCTGTTCTTCCTGTTTGTCCTTCTTTCTCTCTATCCCTCATTTATTTTTCCTTCATTTTTGAAACAGGGTTTTGGTGGGTATTCTAAGCCTTGAACTGTGTAGCTTAGGCTGGACTTGAAGCCACACCAGTATACTTGCCTCAGTCTCCCAAGTGCTGAGATTACAGATGTATGCCTTCCAGCCTGGCATGTCTTCTGTTGTCTTAGGGAGAGACTTAGACTGGAAAAGTAGTAGACCTCCTAGCTTCAGGCTTTGACTTTCCTTTTATGGCTTGAAGCTCTTCCCATGAGCTGTTGTCAGTGATGTGATACCTATTCACTGAGTCCCTCTCAAATATTCTTCTCTTCCCAGATTGAAGGTACTTGTCACTTCTCCAAGGAAGTGAGTTTAGATATGTGGCTCCCCTGTCCTACTCACGTGCTTCCTAACCTCTCTTGAACAGGCAGAGGAAGGAGAGGCCAGTGTCTCCTCCCTTGTTGTGACTCCATCAACAACCACTGACAGTGTGGACAAGGTCCCTGTGGTGAAGGCTAAAGCTACCCATGTCATCATGAATTCTCTGATCACAAGTAAGCACCCTTCAGTCTCAGCAGAGTGAAATGCTGTGAGGAAGAGCCTCAGTCTCCTCTAACCCAGTTGCAGATGATTGTGGGGCCCAACACATGAGTGTGAATGCTGAATCCCTCAGCACTGAGCCTCCATTGAGGAGGAAGAACTGCTGAACTTTAAGCTTCTCAGTTGATTTAGGAGTATTTCTGCTATTTGTTGATAGAATCTAATTTTCCTGTGTTGATAATTGTGGTCTTGGCAAGACACAACCCTAGAAAGTTTCTGAAGCAGGGATCGAGCTGGCAGATTGAGGGTAAGGGTTAAATGATCCATTGCTCAGTGTCTTGATCTGCTGTGTTAGAGGCTCAGGTACTGCTACAGAAGGTGGCACACTGGAGCTTGGTCCTCTGGCCTTGCACTTTTATACACATACTTATTTTGTTTTGAGACAGGCTCTTGCTTTGTACCCCAGATTGGTTTCAAACTCAAAATAGTCCTCTTGCTTCAGTGTAACAGGCATGCACAACACCCGCTATTTCAGAAAACATTTATATATGCATATATGCTATATGTATGTTTATAAATGCATTTATATGTGAACTTTTGGTCTTGCTGACCAGGGCTTTGTACATGTTGGTCCACCAGGAAGACTAGGTTTGGTGCCTCAATTTCTGTAGTCATTAGAATGTGTTCTTGATGGTCCTAAGGAAGCCTGACATAAGATAGTTGCTTTCTTTTTCTTTTTAAACTTTTATAACAAGTTAACTAAACTTTCTTCTCAAAGGCCTTTGTAGTTATTGTGGGAAGTTAACCATTGTTAGATTGATGGCCCTGTGTGTTGTCACTAATGCCTGTGCAAAGGGTAAGGTGTGTAGAGGTTCTCCTTGCTGGGCTCTTTTTTTTTTTTAAGTTTGAGCTCTTCCTTTTCTTCTCTAGGAGGGCATCAGTTTGTCCTGGCCAATTCTGGAAAGTTTACGCAAACCGTACCATTTGAATCAGCAGCTCCAATTCTGTTTTGTAAGCTTGACTGTGTGGTAGTGTTAGAAAGCACAGCTGCTGTCTTGCATAGTGCGGCTTCTTCATAATGCAGATGCAGTTGGCTTGAGTAGATTCTAACACTCCAGTTGCTAAGTGTTACTTGAGGACTTCTGTGTACACGGATCTCTACATTATACACATTTTATATAACTGCAGATATAGTAGTTATACCATTTGATATTTTAATTTTTTTGAAATATTTTTATTTTATAGGTATGAGTGTATTGCCTGCATGTATATAAGTGCACCCGTCATGCAGTGCCCACAGAGGTCAGACTCCCCTGAAACTGGAGTTACAGATGGTTGTTAGCCACCATGTGGGTGCTGGGAACCAAACCCAGGCCTTCTGCAAAGAGCAGCCAGTGCTCTTAACTGCTGAGCCATCTTTCCAGGGTCTCCCTGTAGTGGTGCTGGCCTAGAACTTACTGTGTGGACCAGGCTGGCCTTGAACTTACAGAGATCCACCTGCCTCTGCCTCCAGGTGTGTGCCATCATGCCTGGCTAATTTTTTAAAGTTAATATTGACATAAGCTTGCTATTTATTTATTTATTTTTGGTCTTTTTGAGACAGGGTCTCCCTGTAGCCCCAGCTGTCCTGGAACTCACTATGTAGACCAGGCTGGCCTTGAACTCATGCCTGCCTCTGCCTCCCGAGTGCTGTATTTATTTTTTTGAGATAATGTTTCACTCCATAGCCCAGGCTGTCCAGAACTTGTAGCAGTTCTCCTACCTAAGCCTCCTAGGTGCTGGGACTGCAGGTGTGAGCCACTGTGAATGGCTACTATGACCTTCTGATGTTGCTATCATGTTTTATTTTAAAATATAACTGTACTTAAAGCCCTGGCATTGGTGTACTGTTATTAAATTCCCTTTTCAGGGGACTTCCTTGTGAGACAGAAAAGTCTTAGTGCATTTATGCTTTTTGTTTTTGTTTTGGTTGCAAATATATCATAAGAAGGGGAATGACTGAGTCATAAAGCTGGTGTGGTGATTGCATCCATAACTACCATATTCTTGTGTGTAGGGTATTTTATATAGTTCATAGATTAAGCAAAAATCTAGCCATCATTCTCTAGTATAAGTGACTTGTGAGATAATAGGTCAGACTGAGGGAACATTGAGTATCAACTAGGCCAGGCATAGCTGCAGACAAATCACACATAAGAAATTTGGAATCGCAGGGGCTGGAGAGATGGCTCAGTGGTTAAGAACACTGACTGCTCTTGCAGAGGACCTGGGTTCGATTCCCAGCATCCACATGGCAACTACGAACTGTCATTAACTCCAGTTCCAGGGGAATCTGAAGCTCTCTTCTGACCTCTGCGGCGTTGCATGACATGGGTGCACTACATACATGCAATGCACTCATACACATAAAATAAAAATATTAAAAAAAAATTGGAATCGGTACACCTAGGCTAGTTCATGACAGGTTGTCTGTGCTGTGACTCTGGTTGGTACCTGGGTGCTGGCTAGCAGGAATGTGACCTGTCTCCTTTTGGCAAAGGTTGTTTTTGTGCAGGTGGTGAGTCTCTCTTAGGGAGTTTAGTGTTCTGGAGAATTTTTACTGTGTCTGGATGTCACAGTATCCCTTTAGGAGCAGCTTGCTTTTTTTTTTTTTTAATTTAAAAATTTTTATTTTATGTGTATGCGTGTATTGCCTGCATGTAGGTAGGTGCACCTGTGTCGTGCAATGCCCCTGGAGGTCAGAAGAGGCTGTCGGGGACTGGAGTTATGGGACAGTTGTTAGTTGCCATGTGGGTGCTGGGATTCGAACTCAGGTCTTCTCCGAGAACAACCAGTGTTCTTAACTGCTTAGCCATCTCTCCAGCCCCGCAGCTTGCTTTTTAGTATGCTGTGAGGGAAGGCTCGTTTCTTGTGAGGGAACATTTGTATGAGGTTCAGATTTATTACTGGGTCAGTACCTGTCTGGGGCAATCTTTGCTCTTGGATGGCCTTGCTTTTGGGGAGAACAGCAGATACCTGTATTGTCCTTGGTTTGTGGTGGGTTAGGGGACAGGCATGACTGTTCTCTCTTTTCAGAACAAACCCAGGAGAGCATCCAGCGTTTTGAACAGCAGGCAGGACTGAGAGATGCTGGCTACACACCCCACAAGGGCCTTACCACTGAGGAGACCAAGTACCTCCGAGTTGCAGAAGCACTCCATGTAAGCAACCTGAACTTGCATGGCTTGAAATACAGCTCTGGTTTAGAACTTTGCAGCTCGGCTGTCTGTCAGCTGTGAAGAGTCGGGGGAAGAAAATGGGCAGAGGGATCTGGACTGGGTTAGTCCCTGCTGTGGTGGCACTCCTGGCAGAAGGCTCTGAAGGTGTTAGCCTTAAAGGTTTTGCTTACTTGTCTATAATGTGAGAGCATCTGTTTTGCTTACTTCTTTTTAGAAGGATCCAGTGGGAGTCTCAGCTCGTACATGTGATGTGTGAGAACTCTATGAACTATAAAACAGACATAGGTTTTATATGGCAGAGTGACTAGCTATGAGGGAGGGAGAGGGGAATCTGGCAGTTCTGACAATTAACAGTTTAGCTGGATAGCCACATCATGCTCTGTATTTAATTAATTAAATAATTTTGAGAAAAGGTTTCCATATGTCATCCTGGCTGACCTTGAATGTGTGGTGGTGATCCTGCCTCCGCCTCCTGAGTCCTGGGATCACAGGTGTGCACCACCATACTCAGTGTATACTTAAAAAAAAATCAAATGTTGAATTGGAATTGTGGTTTCTAAATTAGAATAAGTAGGAATTTTAGAGCCAGGTGTGGTGGCGCACACCTTTGATCCCAGCACTGGGGTGGCAGAGGCAGGTGGATATCTGTGAGTTCAAGGCTTGGTCTACATAGTGAATTCCAGGACAGCTGGGGCTACAGGGAGACCCTGTCTTAAAAATACCGCCCCCCCAAAAGAAGTAATTTTAGTGAAGGTTAATTTAATCATGATCCAATATTTTGCTTACCACTGAGCTGCAGCTCCAGTCAGTTCTCTAGCCCCCACCCCCGCCTTTTTTAAAAAATTGAGACAGGATCTTCTTGTAGCCCCAGCTGGCCTGAACTCACTATGTAGACCAGGCTGGTCTTGATCTCATAGAGATTTGCATGCTTCTGCCTCCTGAGTGCAGGGATTAAAGGTGTGTGCACTGTGCCTTGTTTACCCTATTGTGTTTTGAGACTTAGTTAAGTCTGGCCTTATGGTGTGTGGGATTCCTGGTATCACCATGTCTGGCTATGATGAAACATTTTAATAAACAAATTAGTTTAAAATGACTTTACTTTTTCATTTATTTTAAAAATTATTTTTCTTTTCTGTGTACCAGTGTTTTGCCTACATGTATGTAAGTGCACCGTGTGCTTGCATCACATTCTGCCCGTGAGCGTGACTAGCTATCACCTGGAACTAGAGTTATAGATGGTTGTTAGCTGCCATTTAGGTGCTGAGAACCAAATCTGGGTCCTTTCCAAGAACAGCTAGTGCTCTTAACTGCTGAACCATCTCTTTAGTTCCTAAATGACTTTTTAAAGTTTTTTTTTTTTTTTTTTAACAATTATTTGTGTGCATGTATGTACATTTGGGCACATACATGCCATGCCACTTTGTGTAGAAATCAGAGAACAACTTGCAGGAGTTGGCGCTTTCCTATGTGGGTCTGGGATTGAACTCAGGTTGTCAGCCTGGCAGCAGACACCTTTACCCACTGAGCCATCTAATCAGCCCTCAAAATGACTTTCTTTTGGAGAGATCACCTTACACTGAATGGTGCTCTATGATTTTGAAGCTCTTGTGTTCACATAATCTTGACATTAATCCTTTGAGGTAGATACTATAGCCTTTGTTTTGTAAATGAAGACTGGAGAGATAGCTTGGTCAGTAAAGTACTTGCTGCACAAGAACCCATGTAAAAAGCTGGATATGGTGATGCATGCTTCTAGTCTCAGTGCTGAGGAAGTGGAGACAGGCAGATCCCTGAGGCTTGCTGGCCAGGCAGCTTAGTCTAACCTGCAAATCCCAGCAAATTCCAGTAAGAGTCCTTGTCTTTTTTTGGCGGGGGGGGGGGGGGGGGTAGTTCTTTTTGAGACAGGATCTCCCTGTAGCCCCAGCTAGTCTAGAACTCACTAATGTAGACCAGGCTGACCTTTAGGTCACAGATATCCGCCTGTCTCTGCCTGCTGAGTGCTGGGACTAAAGGCATGTGCCACCACACCTAGCTAAGAGCCCACTTTAAAAAACAAAGTGGGCCAGGCGTGGTGGCACGTGCCTTTAATCCCAGCACTTGGGAGGCAGAGGCAGGTGGATCTCTGAGTTCAAGGCCAGCCTGGTCTATATAGTGAGTTCCAGGCCAGCTGGGGCTACCGGGAGATCTTGTCTCAAAAAAAGCCAAAAAGTGGATGGCTTCTGAGGAATGACACCTGAGGTTGATCTCTGGCCTCAACATGTACCTGCACATACATGGCACCTGCATATCCCCCACATGTACCCCCTCACATGTGCATGCATGCGCACACACACACATACACAAAGATGGAGAATGTAATCCAAGGTCCAAGCCAGTAACAAGATCTGAACTCAACAAGTCTCCTGATTGTTTTCCCCTCATTCTTTTTAATATATTATTTTTATTTTTTATTTTATGTGTATGAGTGTATTGCCTGCATGTATGAGCGCACCCATGTTGTGCAATGCTGAGGAGGTCAGAAGAGGGAGTCAGAGACCCCTGGAACTGGAGTTAAGGACAGTTCATAGCCACCATGTAGGTGCTGGGAATCGAACCTGGGTCCTCTGCAAGAGCAGTCAATGCTCTTAACTGCTGAGCCATCTCTCCAGTCCCTTCTCTTCCTTATTCTAAAGTGTGTGGGAATCTGTCTTAGGGATTCAGAGTCTCTGAAAGGGAGGGCAGAGGCAAGTTGGGAGGGGAACAAACACAGGTCTGAGTAACTCAGCAGTTAAGAGTGCTGGGTGCTCTTGCAGAGGATCTGGGTTAAGTTCCCAGCACCCACATGACAGCTCATAACTCTCTGTAACTCTGGTTCTAGGGGATCTGATGCCCTCTTGTGGCCTCCTTGGGCACCAGGTATATGTAGTGTACCTACATACATGCAGGCAAATACCCATGCACATAAAAATAAAATAACTCTTAAAAGTAAGTTCTGGTAGCTGCGACAAGGCCTTTTGAACACAGGGAGAACCACAAAGCATGAGAGGAGCATGGGTACAGTGTATGGGGCATGGACAGCGTGTGGAAGGGGGACAGGATATCATGAATGGGTTGCATTGTGGAATGACTATTGCAGATGAATCTGCAGGCTGTTTAAATGCCACTGCTATGAGAGATTAGTGTTGGGCCTGTGACCATTTAAGCTTAGACAAAGCTGCTTTCAGAGAGAACCACTGTCAGTTTTTGACATTTCAATCTGATAACACATTGTCAACCTACACAGATTGATTTGTTGAGAAATTCTGAGGGTGATCACTTGGCATATAGCTTGGGCTAAGCAGAGGCATATTACTTAGAGGGTAGACATACTATGTGTTGAACTCTAAACCAGGCCTAAGAACTAAGCAGCAGCTTTGTCTTACTACTAGACTGCTAGTGTGCTGGAGGTATTTTTGCAGTGCTGTGGAGTGGCTGCCTATGGGAGAGGACAGAGATGGGCAGTTTCCCCAGAGGAACCTTTAGCATATCACTGTATAGTGCTAAAGGTAGCAAGCCTGAGTCTTGGCTTTGAAAGTCTGAGAAGGGCAGGGGTTGCACTTAAAGGAGACATAGGAAGTGGAGAGATACAGGCCAAGCCAGCTTGAGTTGTGGCTTTCTCACTAAATGACTTTGTTGAAAGTAAAAGCTCTACTACATGGATTTTAGTACAGAAATGCTTGAAATAAGTTATAGAGTACAATTCCTTAGAAAGATGGAATTCCATCTAGGATGGCAAAAATAAAGGGTCCAAATTATTCCATCTGCTTTTCCTTGAGCCTGAAGTTAGGATGTGGATCAAGGTGTTTATAAACCCAGATTTAGTTGTTTTGTGTTTGACTTCACTTTGAAAAAGTCTCTCTTCTCACCCATCTGAACAGAAACTAAAGTTGCAAAGTGGAGAGATAATAAAAGAGGAGAAGCAGCCTGCATCAGCCCAGTCCACCCCAAGCAGCACCCCTCACTCATCCCCTAAGCAGAAGTCCAGGTGAGCCTTTCCTGGACCCTTCTGAGCTGTATGTAGGAAAGTCAGGCTTAGATCTGTGGTTTCTTGGCAGCATAGGAATAGATGTATTGGGATGTATATATAATTTTGTATTCCAGAGGCTGGTTTACCTCTGGTTCCTCCGCTGCCTTACCTGGCACGAATCCTAGTACCATGGATCCTGGAAGTGGGAATGACAGGAACTCATCAGATAAATGGAGCCTCTTTGGACCACGACCCCTCCAGAAGTCTGATTCTGGTAAGACAGCTCCGTCAGAAAAGGACCATGTTGCAGTTTGGGCTGTGTAATTATTTATTCTGTTTTCTACAGGAGGTTTTGCCATCCAGGCCTACAAAGGAGCCCAGAAACCTTCCCCCATGGAGCTGATGCGTGCCCAGGCCACCCGAGCAGCCGAAGAGCCAGCAACCTTCAAGCCTCCCAAGATGGACATCCCAGTGGTAGAAGGGAAGAAACCACCACCACGAACCCATAATCTCAAACCCCGTGACTTGAATGTGCTCACCCCCACTGGCTTCTAGAATGCTTCCCATCCCAAGGACTCAGCTCTTTTACCTTGGCTCTGACATAGGATTGGTGTATTTTTAAGGCTTGAACAGCATTAATGCAAAGCTTGTGCTTGTGTGAAAGAACCATTTTACACTGCTTTAAAGATAAATGTCAGCGGTGATATATGGGAGACCTATTTTTGTATTATGTCTGGAGCTGGGCTTCAAGCCTTGCTTACCTAGGTTTAGTAATGCTTATGCTATTCCAAAACCAAGGTGTCTTGATTTTTTTTCTTGATCAACACGGGCACTGACAAATGATGATAGAGGTGCCCACCAACTAGTCTGGACAGCTGGGGCCTTCTGACATGCTCTAGTCTTGTCAGCGAGGCTAAACTTGCTTGAGATCTGGGTACAGCTAACAGACCTGGCGGGAACCCTGTGTTTATTTTGTTCAGCCTAATAGATCCCTTTGTCCTGCAGCCGCTTCTGGGTGCCTCCTGGCCTCTGCAGGTGGAGGGCTGCTTCTCTTTTGTATGTCCTGGAACACTAGTCCTGCATAGCCTGTCTTGCACTTTAAAGTGAAATTAACTCCAATTTGGTTGAAAACTTCTTAAAGAGAGAAAATTGAGTCTACTGATTTCATATTGGTAAATGGATCCTAAGTGTCACCCCACCCCCCCCTTATATTACTGGAGACTGAACCCAGGGCCTTGCTCATGTTGGGCATATGCTCTACCACTGAGCTTCAACCCCTACCTCTCCTGGATCTTAAGCTTTTTTTCTTAGACTAAAGAAGATGGTAGATACAGTTGAGATAGACTTGAGGTTCACATGAAATTCATGTCACCTTATTTTGATTTCTTCGTCTGAGTCATAGCCTGCAATTTTTTTTGTTGCTGTTGTTGGGGGAGGAGGAAAAATACAAAAAATTTCTATAATGAAAGTATTTTCCATCAAATGAGCCTCATACTTTATGTAACACATTTTCCTGGGGAAAGAGGGGAAGAAAATGCCTTTTTATTTCTCCTTACTGTGCACAGGCTCCGTATCTTGAACACTGTCTCCAATGCTTACTGGGTTTTGTTTGGGATAGTATTTTGTTTACATAATGAGCTAACCACCTCACAGAGAACCCCTGGAGTCTAAAATTGTTGTAAAAGTTAATTTATTTGTGTTATCTCTTGTATTGACAATAAAAATCCTTACTACTTTCTCAAATGTGGGTATCTTTTGTTCTATTAAGAACAGCTGATCAGCCTGCACAGTCATGGAGCTAGGCATAGTAAATCTGGTGCCTTTTTCTTGTATCTTTTGACAGCAAGTATTTTATAATGCACCTTTCTATGCCCCACTTTGTTACATTGGCTCTTAACTGGCCACAAAGTCATAGGCAGTATAAAGGGTCTAATATGGAATGTGCTCTATTTGGGAAGAACTAATGTCTTTCTAGAAACAGGCCATCAGTACCTTTACTCATGTACACTAATGAGTTTGTTCAGCAGGGGGATTCAGCAGGGGGGGTTCCTTCACATCTGGAAATGTTAAACATATAGTACATACAGTATTGCCTGTTTCCAAAGTATAGATAAATAATTTATTAAAAAATATATACACCTCATATATTTAAGCCATATTTGAGTAGGCTAAAGATTATCAAAAAAGGTATATACTGAAGAATTAGAAAGTTATTACAACCTACAGATAAATAAGATAGGCTTGGTCCTATGATATTTCTAACTACTGTTCATACTTCAGAGCTTCTAAGTAGATGGAGACAGGAGGTAATCTTGGTCCTCAGTGCTTAGAAGTGTGGGATGGGCTCTGTGTCGGGGTTTAAGTCTGCAGTATAGAAGAGCAGCAACTTCAACAAATGCACCTTGTCTTGGAGCTGGGGGACCAGAGGTTCACCCAGCAGGTAGATCAGACGGCTGCGGAAGGCCTCGATCTGCTTCTCCACGTCCACCACGGTGATGTCATCTCCTTGCTGGGGCTTAGGCTTAATTCTCTTGATGATTAAGTCTTTACGATCAATCACTGAACTTCGTAGGTGCTCTGCAAGAGGGAAGAAGACAAAACTGAACTGCTTTTTGTTCCTTATGATTTAAAAGGCTGCAGTTCAGTTCTACTAAGGCCTATTGCCTTAGCATTGGATGGCAAGTCGAAAGGTCACATGAGTTGCTGTGGGAACGCCAAGGGGCTGTGTTCTTTGCTCACCCTGATTGTCAAGAAATTTAAAGATTATTTTTATTAATTTGTGTGTGTATGTATGTATGCTCTATTCAGGTACCTGCTGAGGCCAGAGGAGGACACCCAATCCCCTGAAGCTGGAGTTAGAGGCAGTTGTGAACCACCTGATATGTGTGTTAGGAACTGAACTCATGTCCTCTGTAAGAGCAGCAAGTGCTGCTAACTGCTGAACCATCTCTCCAGCCCAGGAAATTTTATATATTAAAAAATATTTTGGTTTTGGGTCTGTGAGATGGCTTACCAGTTAAGAGCACTGGCTGCTCTTCCAGAGGACCTGGATTTGGTTTCCAACACCCACATAGTGACTAACAATTGTCTATAACTCCAATTCCAGGGGATCTGAGGCCCTCTTCTGGCCTCTGGGCATTGCATGCATGGATGCACTGACACATGCAATCAAATCACTCATACACAAAATAAGATTTTATTTAAAAATTAATTTTTTTCCTTGGAACAGTAAGTCTGTACTAAATAAACATTTTATAATAACCACTTATGAAAAAAATTATGGTGAATCAAACAATTTATATTTGTTGTGCATGTGCATGTATGTACTCAGGTTGTCAGGCTTGGTGACAAGTGCCTTTACCTGCTAAGCCATTTCTCCAGCCCCCGAATTTTAAATAATTTTTTTGGGGGGCGTCTTTTTTTGAGACAGTCTCCCTGTAGCCCCAGCTGGCCTGGAACTCAAAGAGATCCACCTGCCTCTGCCTGCTGAGTGAGTGCTGGATTAAAGGTGTGCCACCACACCGACCTTAAATAAAGAAATTTCTAAGTATGAAAATAAATGGGACCTAACTACATTTGTAGTAATACTGGCTTACTGTAACTCAGAAACTTGTTTTTGTTTTTTTGTGACAGGGTCTCAACTACATAACCCTGGCTGGCCTCGAACTCACTATGTAGGGCAAGTTAGCCTCAAGCTCAAAGAGATCTGCCTGCTTCTGCCTCCTGAGTACTGAAATTAAACCAGAAACTACATTATAGGATGGCCCAAGTAAATAAATATAATTCATACTGTTGGGAAAGAATCCTGTGATATTGAAGTGGAAATTGAGGTTTCATTGGGAACATGTAAATCAGGAGTTCAAAGCTAGCCATGGCTACATAAGAGTTTGAGACCAGCCTGGGATACATGAGACCCTGTCTTTAAAAAAAAAATGACTATCTAATCAGAAAGTAATTAGAAGCAGAGACTCCAGGAGAAACCCTCAATCTGGGTGATAATGTAGGAGGTCTTATATACATTTCCTACTCTCCATTAAAAAAAAAATCGGGGGCTGGCAAGATGGCTGTGAGAAAGTGTGCCTGTCACCAAGTCTGATGACCCGAGTTCAATTCCTGGGACTCACTAGCTGTCCGCTGACTGCATAAGCATAGTGGTACATATGCTCAAATACATACATGCACATAAAAGAAAGTTTAAAATGTAAAAGAAAATAGAATTTTGAGGAGAAAGGCTAATTTAAGATCAAAGCAGGCTAGTTACAAGGTGAACCTGTAATATCTTTTAGAAGAAAAACAACACTTGGGGCTGGAGAGATGGCTCAGCAGTTAAGAGCACTGACTACTCTTGCAGAGGACCCAGGTTCGATTCCCAGCACCCACATGGTGGCTATAAATTGTCCTTAACTCCAGTTTCAGGGGAATCCGAAGGCCTCTTCTGACCTCCGCGGCATTGCACAAGTGCACTCACATACATGCAGGCAATACACTCACACACATAAAAATAATAAAATATTTTTTAAAAAAGAAAAACAACACTTAAAATCTAATACGGAGACCTGTCAAGAGGACATAGGCATCAACCTGAAGGAGTCCATTAGTCACATTGTGGACAGTGTGACCAGAAAATGACAAAATGGATTATTTTTTTAAGATAGGATCTTCTTATATACCCAGGCTGGCCTGGAACTTGTTAAACCAAGTTTGCCTTAAACCCAACCTCCTAAAGTGCTGGGATTATGTAGGCATGGGCCACCATGCTTAGCATTGAAAAAAGGAGGGAATTTACTTTAACATGTTGAATTTTTAATATGCTTAGCACACACACACACAAAAATTGGGGGCTAGAGAGATGGCTCAGTGGTTAAGAGTACTTGCCCTTCCACAGGACTGGAGTTCATTTCCCAGCACCCAGTATAAGTGGCTCATAACCTCTTGTAACTCCAGCTTCAGGGGACCCATCACCCTTTTCTGGCCTCTGTAGACACTTGTGCATGCGTGAGGGTCCTTTTCACAGAAGGCCAGTTACAAGATGCAGAAGGAAGGTCTAAAACTAGAAAGTTGTAGGCCGGACGTGGTGTTGCATGCCTTTAATCCCAGCACTTGCTAGGCAGAGGCAGGCAGATCTCTGTCAATTCAAGGCCAGCCTGGTCTACATAATGAGTTCTAGAGCAGCTGGGGCTACAGGGAGACCGTGTCACAAAAAGACCAAAAAAAAAAAAAAAAAAAAGCTAGAAAGTTGTAACTTTACACCCCACTAATACATTTATTTAACTAAGCTACACATAGCTGCTGAACCACAGTTTCTGCCTTTGGGTCATTTATTAATAACAAGAGAAGTGATGGACAAATCTCATAGACAGTACCTTGACCAAATCAATGACTTACTTTTTGATGTCATGCACTGTGAAGGGTCATCATCTATTTAGTATTTTATTCATTATTTTTAGACAGGGTCTTATAATGTAACCCACATTGGCTTAAATCTCCTATGTGGTCCTGACTGGCCTTAAACCTTTGATTTTTCTGCTTCAGCCTCCCAAGTGCTGGATTATAGGTGTGTACCACCAAGCCTGGCAATTTTGTATTTTTTATTTTATTGTATTATTTTATGAGTGTATTGTCTGCATGTATGTGAGTGCACCCATGTCATGCAATGCTGCAGAGGTCAGAAGAGGGCTTCAGATCCCCCTGGAACTGGAGTTAAGGATGGTTCGTAGCTGCCATGTGGGTGCTGGGAATCGAGCCCGGGTCCTCTGCAAGAGCAGTCAGTGCCCTTAACCACTAAGCCATCTCTCCAGCCCCCAATTTTGTATTCTTATCATTAGATATTAACATAATCTGATGGTGAGGAAACAATTAGATAGTCTCAGTTAAAGGATATCTTGTAAAGTGAGTGACCTAGACTCTTCAATAATGTCTCTCATTAAGGACAAAGTAAAGGCTGAGAACTGAAGGAGACAGTTACTGCCAAGTATAGTGCTGTATGTTTCATAGGACACTGGCTCAAAACAAAGCCTACAACTGCTAAGATTCTTACTGTGAGAGTATTGAGTAATCTATCAAGAAGCAGTTTCTTTTCTATTTTTAAAATATTTTGGTGGGGGGAGGGCTGGAGAGATGGCTCAGTGGTTAATAGCACTGGCTGCTCTTGCAGAGGACCCTGGTTCAGTTCTCAGCACCCACATGATGGCTCTTCTACAGGACTGAAAATGAAAATACTGGGGAAACAAAAAGCTATAAAATGTGTCTCGTCCCACGCCCAGAGGCCAGTCCTACCAGAGTTCTAAAAATATGCCGATTTAAGCCCAAGGTCACATATGAGGCACACACAGATCTGAGAGCTTTTGACTCAGATGCACCAAATCTATTACAGCATTATTTTCTCAGTATCCTCACTTAAAAAATAAAATAACCCTGTTAGTGAAAGGGTTGAACAATACTGTGTCAGAAATTGGGGAAACAGAATAAACTTATTTATCTCTATCTATCTATCTATCTATCTATCTATCTATCTATCTATCTATCTATCTATCTATCTATCTATCTATCAATCATCTATCTAGTCTGTCTAATCTAATCTATCTTCTATATTTTAGAAAAGGTCCACTTTGTAGCCCTAGCTGGCTTGGAACTTGCTATGTAGACAAGGCTGGCCTTGAAATCACAGAGCTCTACCTGTCTCTGCTTCTCAAGTGCTGCAATTAAAGGCCTGTGTTACCATGTCTGGCGGTATATTATATTAAAAATATGCTCAATACGTTTTCCTTCAGCCTTCAGATAAAAATATTTAAAGTTCCTCTAAACTCATATGCATTGGGCCTAATTATAATCTAAAAAGAAAGTACAGTCAGTAATAGCACAGTATGTCCAAACAATCTGTAACAGGAAAAAAATTGCCTAGCTATTTACCTGCAGGGTCCTTTCAACATTCAAGCAACAAAAATTTGTGAATGCCAACTATATTTCTGAAACTGGACTACACTGTAGGGAAAGTGGTCTCAGAGACTTGGCCCCAGTCCTGTGGGCTGACATTCTAATTTCAGGAAGCCTGAGAACAAATAAACCAACACAGATACAGCTTGAATGCAAAGAAATAAAGAGGACTCATGATTACTAGTAACATGGAAGGTACAGAATGAGGGACGGAGCCCAATCTAGCTATGGAGAGCCTTGAGCTGAGTCCTCAGTATGCAGGGGAAATGAAGCCCAGGTAGAAGGAATAGAAAGTGCAAATGTCCTGAGGTAGGGAAAAAACTAAAGTCAGGGAAGAGGAGGGAAAACAGTTCTAGATGCAGCTGAAAGGTGGGCTGAGCATGTAATAACGTGACACTTCGCCTTTGAGAGCAGAGGGTATCTGAAAGTTTTCGTGGAGGGTTTTAGTAGGAAAATCAGATTTATTTCACTTTGCCACTGGTGAATGAATGGTTTTAGGGGGAATGGTTTTAGCATAATTTGATTTTCTTACAAAAGGCCTATGCTACTGACAAACCTAAAAATGATTTGGGAAACAAAGGAGGAGGGATGGGGATGGCTCAGTTGGTAAAGTGCCTGCCATACTAGCAGGAGGACCTGGGCTT